AATTGTGGTATATTGTGGATTCAATCATTAGAACTCCGAACATTAGTCATTCTTGTGAAACAGCTTTTCTGTCTCAGATGAGAACAATTCAATCCTTACTGGTTTTACACAGCACCGAGTTCTGGGTGGCTAGTTCTTTCATTTTTTTTAGTACAGCTTGGCTCATGGACAAAAATAGAGAGAAGTTGTATTGCTTAAACATTATTTGGACACTAAGAGCCCTTTCCACTTGACAATTGGAATTTAATTGCAAAAAAAAAAACCATGGAGAAACCCTCTATTCACCCAGGACCATCCAGCATTATGACTAAGGTATTTTTGCTGTATACTCGCTAACCATCCACAGTTCACAGAGGCACAAAAATCACGGGCAGATGAGGCACACTGGGGGTTATCTCAATAGCTACTACGATCACATCCCTAGAGGCATAAGAAGCAACTATTTTCCTTTCCTGGAACTCTCACCATGGGCTTAAATTAAGCACTGCTCATGTCTGCCTTACACCCTCATGACTCTATCTGTGCTCTTCCAATCTCTACTGTTTGGTATATCTTTTTTCCATCTTCTTATCTCTACCTATTAAAATTCTACTTATCTCTCAAGGTTCCAGAACTTTGTTCATGTTTATAACATTAATATATATCTCTTTGTGTTCATGTCAATTATTTACCCATTTGATTACTTCTACCAAGAGGCATAGGCACCTTATGTGCAGGGACACTACTTACACATCTTTATGTAACTCTTTCTTTACCCATGTGCTACCTAGCCTGTGGTAGAGGCTCCTAAAATACTGGAACTAAGCCCAGGAGCCAGTCACCTCTATTTATAATGAGTTGCTTTGGGAGATAGAGTATTTCCCTTCTCTAAATGTATTCAAAGTTACAGCCAGATAATCACTAAGGAAATGCTGTCCAAAGGATTGAAATCTTAGGTAATGGACTAGATTTCCTTTTAAAACTTCTTTGATCACAAAGATTCTGAAATTTCAAACAGACCCATGAAGGAAGTATGCATTGTCCACTGGAGGTAGGCTTTTTTTCTCTTTCTCTTTTTTTCTCTCCCTAAAGAGAACCATTTGAGAAATTCTCAGTTAAGGGCAGATTTTAAAATTTTCCACCACTAGCGTTCTGTCATATGTTATATTTGTGACAGCTCATGAACAGGAACTAGTATCTAAAGTCAGTGACGGAACCATACTATACTTAAAATCAAATCAAGAAATAAGAGACAGAAAATAAGTACAAATCATTAAGTATAGATTACAAGCTCTACAAGAGGAGAGAAAAATCAATGGGAGCCAGAGTGATCAAGGAGAGGATCTTCAACCAGGTATGGAAGGATGGATAGGATATAAATGGTCAGAGAAAAGCACCTCCATGTTAAGAAAGACAAAAACAGGAGAGGCATGAAAGGACAAAATAAATATAGTGTAGCTCTGAGGTCAAGAGGCAGTGGGACTAAAGCTCAAGTCTATGTTGAGGAATAGTGAGAAATGCTACTTGTCCAACAAAGTGGGGCCAGATAATTGGGAGTGTGGAAGCAGGGCTTGAGAGGCTGGTAATAGGAGACCATTTAAGGCCCTGAGCAGAGGAGCGAGGTGATGAAAGAGCATTTAAGAAAAATCAAGTCTGGGAGAACACTGTATGTGGGATGGACATGAAGGGAGAGCCATTGCTGTAAAGGTTATATGACCCACTGGGAAGGGGTCATATATGTTATGACCCACCGGGAAGGGGGTCATGACCAGGTAGGCTTCAGGGGTCAAAAGTCTGTCTCAGCGATGGGGTTGGAGGGCATCACAGGGAATGAAGAAGAGGGATAGCCCAAAAGAGGAGTTACAAGGATCTACTAAAAGGATGTAGAAAATCAAAGAAAAGAATGTGTTCAAAATGATGGAGAGGATGGCAGGGCCAAGAACAGAGTCATGGGACTGAGGAAGAGAGGCTGGTTTGGCAGGCAGGGTAGCATTTGGACATGTTGAATCTGAAGTATTAAAGTGTGAAATATCCAAGAACAGATAAACTATGGAATAGGTGTTCGGAGAAAGAAAAGAATTCAAATTAGAGACTTGAGAGCTTTCTATAGATAAGAGAAAGCTGAAGTCCCAGAATAAGAAAGTGGAGAGTATGCAGAAGAGCCCAAAAGTGATGAGCAGCAGAACCTACAGCTCATTTCAAAACTGGAAGTTTGCAAGAATATAAGCGCAATGAAAGGAATGGAAAAGGAGCAATCAGTGTGGGATAAAAATCCAACAGTGTCACAGAAAACATGAAAGGAGTTTAAGAGACGAATGTGTGATACATGAGGAATGATGGATAAGGGTAAGAGCATGTTAAAGATACCACGAAACTAAGAAATGGGCAAGGTTGTTTCCCCTCTCAACCACTAACACAGTATACCATATGACATTGATTGGTGGGTGGACAGGAGAAAAGAATTTTGTGCTGTAAGACATGCTCTATTTTATGTTTTTTAATTACAAAAAGGAGATACAGCAGCATGTTGCTATTTCTTGGTGCAAAGAGAATTGTAAAAGATAAAAGATAATGCTGATAATGTAGATAGGTTTTGAGTAATGTCATTGAGAATATTTACTCTTTTTGGAGCTATATAATAGGAATAGCACCACAGACACTAAGTATTGACGCTATGCTATAAAAGTGTAGGTAATATATCAAAGAGTGCAAATCCTGACAAAAGTTATAAGGAATATCAAAAGGCATTTAAAACTGACCCAGGGACTATTAAGTAACTCATGGGATACTGCCAAGCACACACAAAGATAATGTGTTCCTGAATTCACAAGAATGCTTGAGAAGTGATGCCTCTCACCTGCTCATGAAACACCCAGTCTATGTCCAGGATCTAACTTGAGCCAGACTTACGTCTACTTTAATTTAGTTGAGAACTATCTGGAAAGGTACTACAGACAGAAAGCAATGTTTCTGGTCTGTGAGTTAAAAAAATCACTCAGATATAACTAATGGAGATAACATTACAGGAAGCCAAGTACTTTTACCAGTTGCTGATGGACTAGAAGCTGGTCTCTGAAATAGGTGTGTGAAATACTGTACAAGAAATCTTTGCCCTCTACCTCTCCCAAATGGAAATTAATTAATAATTAATGGTGATCCTGGACCGTGGAAAGATCCAGGTTTTATGGGGCCTGAAGCTTATATACAATAAGAAAGAAAAAATTGTGCACACAAGATTCAGTGTGAAACTGGTTATTTACAATGAGAACCAGACAAGACCTGCAGTTGTAAGGCTGTATAAAGAATAAGGTTCATCAGCTATGTGCTAAATCTACCTCTGCTAATGACCAAGTATTGACAGGAAAGTAAGGAAAGAAAGAAAGCATAGGGAATAAAAGACAGTATTCCTTAAGGAGTACTGGAAACAGAATAAAAAACAGAAAAGAATAAAATTGCAGAAGGAACCCTGAATTGTGGAATAAGGATAATATGGAGATGGGAAAGGACAAAGAACTCCCAATCAATTTTCACAGCACATTATCATCATATTTATTTCCCAGTGATCAACGATGATATTGCTTCTAGGAAGCTTACCTAGAATGACTACATTTTTGGAAACACCAGTCTACTTCATTGCCGGCACTCAACAAGTATTTGTTGAATGAATGAACAAATGAAGGGAAACAAGAGAAATACTCCTTTTTCTTACTCTCCACCAGGATCTGCTTTCCTCTGATGCTCCAACATATATGTGTGTTTTTGCTGGCACTGGCTGAATTGTCAAAGCAACAGTTCATTACACCACTCTCTTCTCTTATGACTGGTCATCCCAAACATGCCAAGACAAAAGCTATCTCCATCTAAAACTAATTTGTAAGCATGTTCACAGTCTCCTCAAAAGGCTTATACATAAAAATGGCTACTGTGGGGCCACCCTACATACTTCCTCCCACCTTCTTTCTTCTTCTGTCTAAATCAGATCCTGCAAGTATGGGGTGGAGTGGAGAGGTCAGTGTGGGATTCTAGCTAGGAATGAAATGCAACACAAGTCCTAAATTTCAAACATTTTACCAATTATGACAACACACGTGACAATTTAATATATGAATCATGACAAGGCTTCTAGCAAGATACTAAAAAGCTTCATGCACCCCTCACTTGATCAGCCACAAACCTAAGCCAGGACCAGGGGATCTCAGGTCTGACAGCTGGCTCATCAGAAGGCAAGATTCAGGAAGGGGGAACTCTCAGGGAAAGAAGGAAAGAGGATGAAATAGGGCACTAAGCCTCTGATTCAAAAAGGGACCCCCTTGGGGCAATAAATGCCCTACAACTTCCTGCAAGTTCTAAAAAAAGGCAGGAGTAATTTAAAACTAAGAACTCACCCCTCTTTCCTTTTTTCTTTTTTTAACCTTTTCCTAAATGATTCTGCCTGCTTCCTCTTCACCTACCAAATTTTCTAAGGAAAGATGCTTAGAGAAGAGCAGGGCTGGAATAATAATACCTCAATACCAGAAATGCATACGCTGATGTACTGTTTAAGGCAAAGGATATGAAATCAGTGAGGCAAAGCAGCTACCTCCGGAATTAGGATTGCTGGCCTTAAATGGGAGAAAATCTTTCAGCCACTTCCAAGCCAGGCGATTTGACCTCAGGAGAGTTATTGAAACTCCCCAGACCTCAGTTTCTTGGCTTCGTAAAACGGGGGTGAATTTAGTACCCACCTCACAGAACTGCTGAGGACTGAGAAAATACATGTAAAGTACCAAATATAACTGCACAGCAAGATCTCATTAAATATTAGTATTTAATAGTAGTAGTAAAATTATTGTGCCTACCTCCCCCAGTTCACACCAACAGCAAAACTGGCCCAACCCCCACTCTCACCTCTCAGGATCCGAGCCGACCATGGCTACACTCTCACATAGATGAGAGACCCTCCAAACCGCACAACGCTACTTCTAGCCCCCTACCCCGAGCCGGCCAGGGCCCCTCAGGCCACAGCTACTGTCCACACTGACCTGAGATGCCGCCTCCTATCACGACTACGTCGAACATGTGGTCTGCTACACTCGTCTTCTCCCGACTCGCCATTCTTTGGAAGAGATTCTCCCGAGGCGTGGGTACAGGAGTGGGGACGCCAAAGGGCGGGATGTACCCTTCCTCCAACTCTCCGGGGGAGCCCGGGGGCGGAGTCGATCTTTCCTCAGATACCCGGGGGGAGCCGGGCGCTGAGGGCGGGGCGAATCCATTTGCTGACTCTCCGGGAGCGCCCGAGGGCGGAGCCGATGTTTCTGCAGATACTCGGGGGGAGCCGGGCTCTGGGAACGGGGCGGACCCTTGTGCTGACACTTCGGGAGAGTTATTGGGTTTAGGAGATACTTGTATTAGCACTTCGGAAGGACTACTGGGTGCAGGAGGAGGTCCTTGTACTGAACCCCGGGGGGTGCTGGACACTGAGGGCGGGGCAGACTCTTGTATTGAATTCCCGGGGGAGTTATGGGGTGTAGGAGGTATTGGTAGTGACAATTGGGAAAAGGTGCTGGGCATAGGAGATCCCGGTTCCAATATCCAGGGGTAGTCGGGCACTTCGAATGTGGCGGGCTCTTGTATTGAATCTCGGGGGGTGTTATAGGGTACAGAAGGTCCCTCCATGGACATTTGAGAAATGTTACCGGGTATATTAGGTCCTGGTACCGATAACGAAGGGTAGTCCGGCACTGAGATAGGGGAGGACTCCGAGGGCAGGGCAGATCCTTCGACTGAACTCTGGGGGTACCTGGGCACTGAGGGCTGGGCTGACCTTTGTACTGGCCCTCGCAAGGGCCTCAAGGGTGGGAGAGATCCTGCCACCGATAACCGGGAGATGTCGGTGTCCTGGCTGGAGCTTGGGGCGGCCCTATCAGAGGTGTTGTAGAAGGCGGCAGACATGGGAATCTGATCGTTCAGGCCATCGGCGCTGAAGCCCCAGCCAGTCTTGGAGTCGGAGTCAATCTTCTGGTCAAAACTGGTGCTGAGGTGGGAAGTTACATTAGTACTCCAGCTGTCGGCCGCGTCCACAGTGGTCGCGTTTGACAGGGAGCTAGGCAATGGGTGGAAGAGGGTCTGCCAGTGAGAGGGGATGCTCCATTCCTCTGGGTAGGACGAGGCCTCACCAGAGTTGGAAGCCACGTTCGGGACCTGGACAGAGTTGTCCCCAGCTTGAGGAGAGAGCTCCGCCTCACGCCCCCTCCCGGAGCCGCCGTGGGAGGGGGGTGAGTTGTAAGCGCTCATGGTTCTGGAGCGCGCTGGGCGCTGGGGGCGGTGTTTTGCCCTCCGCTACCCTTCCCTATGGTCGCTTGCCTCTTCAACCCGGCTGTCCCTTGTCCACGCTGTCGGAGGCCCGCCCTGGGAGGCCAGCCCAGAGGAAGGCGGGGAGATGTTGAGCTGGTGCGGCTTGGCTCCGCCTTCCCCGCCTACCGGCCGGCGCGCACTAATTACCCTCCCACTGGGTGTAGCCGGGCAATGCCACTGTAGGGTGCGGGGGGGGCGCGATGGCTTGGCAAGAGTGAGGAAGTGGGCGTGGGCGTGACTTCTTGGAGTCTCAACCTGGTGCTTTCATTCTATGACTTTAACTGAAAGGGATCTTGGCCGGAGTGGGCTTAGGAAAGCAAGTGTTTGAAGGAAGCACACCCGCCTAGGGTTGGAGGGTCGCGGGGTCGCCGCCCTACTTGGTCTGGCTCTTTGTGACGTCAGGGAGGGCTCGTTGAGGTCTGCGCAGCCGCGCCCTCTCTGGGGAGGGGGCGGAGCGAGAAGTAACTGTCAATTGGGGGAGACTTGGCAACTATTGGTTGTCTGTGGAGTTTTTCAAGCTGAGGCGCTTAACCAAAATCTAAGCAAGTAGGCTAGAAAAATATCTCGGCTACCACAGATTAAGTGCAGTTTAAAAAGCGAAGGTCAAGGGATGGCCAAGGTGCAGAAAGAATTAAAAAAGTAAAATGTGTTTTCCTCATCCCACTGAAAGGAGTGTTGATTTAGTGCACATATTTTACTGTGCAGTCAGCTGTCTGTTTGCTAGTTTTATCCCTTCTTTAAATGCCCCCTTTTTCTTATCCTCCTAAAGCTGAATTCGTTATAACTGGAACCCTCAAAAATGGATAAAATTATGACATAAATTCAGAGTAAGCGATGAGAACACTAGAAAGTTAACTAGATATCCATTCCCGCCTATGAACATTTCTCCTGCCCCCTCCATTCTATATCAAACATCTTGGTGAATAAACTGTAAGGAAATATGGAGTTCGTCTTTTCTTCATCCTGTTTTAAAAGCTCTTACTTCCTAGAATAGGACTTGAGACTTGACTAAATTAAAATCATTTTTTCTCTCAGTAGACTTTGAAACATAAAGAAAGGAAATAATAGATATAAATAATTCAGCTCTTTATAATGTGATTCTGCCCACCTTTCTCCTTATTTTCATTGCTTTCATTTCTTTTCATTCAAATGCTCGATTTCCACTATGTGCTAGGCATAGAGCAAGGTACTGGGGACACGCAGGCAACACAAGACAGACAGAGATCATCATCATTGAACACACAGTCTCGTGGAGGAGCTAGTAGAGGAAATAGACAACTGCATGCTTGATGTGTAAATACAAACTTTGATAATCGTTATGTTGGAAAGATCCATAGTGATAAGAAAGTGTTAGGTTGTCCTGATCCCTCTGGAGGTTAACTTTGGGACAGGGAGTGTAAAAATGTTCCAGAAAGACAGAACAATGTAGGCAAAAGTGCTATGGTAGAAACAAGCATGGTTTATCAGGACAATGTAAAGTAAGCCAGTGGAGCTGACAGCAAAGGGAGAAGCACAAGATACAAGGCTGCTGAGGTGTCTGAGCCAAGGTAACATCCTCGGTCTTTATGCTAAGAGCAACAGACACGGCTGCAAGACTTTAATCAAGGGGTGATGCGCCTAGCTTGCATTTTGAAAAGGTCTATATGCCTGCCATGTTAGTAATAGGGCAGGAGTAGATTGATACAGGGAAACCAGAGTTAGGCATTCTTCAAAGAAGAAATATCCAATCACCCTCACTACCTCCAGTATCTTGCTGGTCCTCTCCATTGACCTAACCCAACCAGAAGCTAGAAGGCAATGGAGCCTGTTGATGCAGGTTGTTCCAGCGTGAGACAAAGTAGCAAACCTAAGAAGCCATGTTTGCTCATTTCTGTTTGCCAGCATAATTTCACAAAGCCCCTTCCTCTGTGACTGAGTGTAGTTTTCTGGCAAGATGCTTTGAAGACAAAACACGATAGAGCACACAGCCCCTCCACATCTATGCCTGAGTCACTATATTCCTTAAAAGAAAGATGACTCTAGTCCTTGCCTTTCTCTATACATAAAATAATGTCTGACAGGGTTAGTGATTATGCTTCTGTAATGTATAACCAGATGTGTATTCTTATGCCCAAACCTTGATGTAATTCTGCTTCAGTGTAACTTCTGAGCAAGTTTGATGTAATTTTGCGCGTACTAAACCCCTATCACTTGTATATAAGCAGTGAGCAGTCCTGCTCAGTATACTGTGCAGGAGCAGTCCAACAGAACTTTTTAATAAGGGCTGCTCCAGACTTTATATCTTAGTCTATAGTTTAATTTGGTCTAAATTTAATTCTTTAAAAGTTTGATTTTTTTCTTTAGTTGACACAGGTCAGCCTTCAGGGGCAAGAACAGAGTAGAGAAATGCAGTGGGTGCACCCAGAGGGGCAAAGGGAAGTTATCCAGCATAGCTCAAGTGAAGGTTAAATTTGCAAATGAATCTAAAATATTTAGTGTAGTACTTGACATGTAATCATTACTCAATACATATTTGCATTTTAATTTTTAAAAACTAAATTATATATTCATGTCATGTACTGTAATCTACTTAACCATTATTCTCTAACATTAAGCACTTAGTACTTTTGAATTTTTAATATATAACATGGGGATGAACATTTTATGCATAAAATATTGTATATATTTCTTAGCATTTCTTTGAGATAGAATCCTGAAAATAGGATTATGAGGTAAAAAAGTAGGAGTATTATTAAGTTCTTTGATTGAAGTTCCCAAATTATGTGCCCAAAAGACCATATAAATTTATACTTGATCACCAATGCCTATGAATGGCTGTCTTTTTACTGCACCTACTCCAACATTAAGCAAGTTAACTTTTTAACATTTCTTAACTTGAAAGGTGAAAAATTAGCATGGCATTGCTACTTAAATCAGTGTTTCTTTCATTACTGATAAAATACTTTTATCATATATTTATTAGCCACTTCAATCTCTTGTGAATTATCAGTTCGTATCTTTCTGTAGTTCATTTCTGTAAGTGCTTTATATAATAAGACATTAACCCCATGTATATTATTTTCACTCAAGATTGCTCATTCCAATCTATATTTTAGTACTATTTATGACATTTTAGGTATGCAGAAATTTTAAATTTATGTGCTTATATCGATTATTTAGTGATTTCTTTCATTGCTTTTAAACTTAGAATGTTCTTGTCTTTCAGAGATCTTAAGGACAAAATCTACATTTTCTTTTAGTCTTGTGATGGTTTGATATTTTTAGATTTAATTATTCAATCCTAATCTACTGATATGTATTTTGTGATGTGCTATATAGGGTGAGGATCTTAATGGATTCCCCTCTTTTACCACAAATAGTTAACCAATCGTAACAGAACTGCCTATTGAAAAATCCTTCCATTCACTGATTAGTGTTACCTCATCCAACATAAATACTGAAATCTGTTTTTGAGCTCTCTCCTGTTATACTGATCTGCTTATTTTTGCCACATTGCCATCAATACCAAATTGACTTATTTATTGTTGCTTTACAGTAGATTTTACCAGATAGAAGGATTAGTCCCTTCCCAATAGTCTTTTTTTTTTTACAAATTATTTATAATATTCTTACATATTCCTTCCATTAATATATCCTTATATATTTAAATGGATTTCAGAATGTCATCCATGAAAAATACTCTTGGTTAATTTAATTGGACTAATGGTATTTCCTAAGCATCAGTGTGAGAAATTTATATCTGGCAGCCTTATTTAATGCCTTTTTAAAGAAGTCTTCATTTTCAGAATACTCATAGGAAATCATTTTACTTATCCCTGAAATTAAACAATTTTGTGAGGGCAATATGATTGTCTGTGTCTATGTGTCTATATGTGTGTAGTATCAGAAATCTGTGGATTTCTAATTCGGGGATTTTATTAATTCTTATGTTAGGGCATTTTTTTTCCTACTCTGACTTGGATTATTGCTTCTGCTTTAAGTTTTTGGTTTCTTCCTGAAAAACACCTATAATTATCTTATCGGAGCACCTTTCTATGTCCTTTATCATTGTTACCATCTCTTTGTCCTTTTCTTCTGAATTCTGAGGGAGTTAATTAGATTTATCCTTTATATTACTGATTTAATTTTCTAAAGTTCTAATTCTATTTTACTGTTTCTGATGCAGATTTTAACTATGTCATTTCATTGTAGACTTTGGGTTTGTTTTGTTGTTTACTTTAAATTCTTATTTCAGCCAATTCACTTTTCATTTATGCCATGCATACATTGGTGAATTTTCTCCTTATGACTTCCTGATTTTGTTTCATAGAGGCCTAGTTTTATGCATGTTCTGGAGACAATTGTTTTTGAAAATACTATTCTCTGTCTGCAGATATCTATGGCATTCTCATACATTGCTGACTTAAATGCAAAGCAGTACAGTTGTGGCAAGGAATTTGATAATATCTAACAAAATCACTTAAGCATTTACTCTTTGAGCCAGTAACCCTACTTCTAGGAGTTTACACTAACAATACACTTCCACAAACAGAAAAAACATATGTACAAGGTTATCTGTTATGGAATTATTTTGAATAACAAAATATTCAAAACAATTTACATGCACATCCAAGAAAGACTATTTCTTGCATATGTCTACACAATGAAACACTATGCAGCCATTACAAAAAAAAAGAAAAAATGATGATCTCTATGACCTGATATAGAGTGATTTTCAGGATATATCATCAAGTGATAAAATCAAGGTATGAAAGAATGTATATAATATCTCTTTGTGTGAGTGTGGGTGGATTTGTATCTTCCTGTAAGAAAAACATTTACTTACATTTGCAAAAAATAGGAAGGAGAAAATAATATATGGACAAATGGGTGAGAATGGGATGAAAGGGGTAGGAATGGAAGTGAAATTTCTCTGAGTATTCTTTTTAAAACAGTGCAGCTCTCATCAGGGAATATTCATGGGTTCAACTAAACCTTCAGATTCATGAAACTACAATGGACTATATTTGACATCAGTCTGCCCAAAAGGATACAAGACAGAAACCACAGCTTGTCAGTGGACTGTGTCTAGTGTTTATCTTCCACGGGCATTCTTGCAGCAGATCATAGAGCAGTCCAAATAGCTACACTGCAGCTATTTTAATTAGTT